TAAGTACATTCACATTGTTACACAATCATCACCACCATTCATCTCTGGAACTTTTTTCATTGTCCAAAACTGGAACTTTATACCCATTAAACACTGACTTCCCATTTCCCCCTCCTTCTGCCCCCTGGCAACCACCGTTCTATTTTCTGTCTTTATGGATTTGATTACTCTAGATATTTCATATACGTAGAACCACGTAATATTCTTGTGTGTCTGGCTTATTTCATTTTAATATAATGTCTTCAGGGTTCACCTATGTTTGTAGCACGTGTTAGAATTTCTTTTTTAGGGCTGCATAATACTCTATTGGATGTATCTAACTTTTATCTGTCACGGACACTGGAGTTGCTTACACATTTTGACTATTGTGAATACTTCGAACACATGTGTACAAATCTTCTAGTTCTTGCTTTCAGTTGTTCTGGGTAGGTATGTAAAATTCCATGTTTCCATTAACTAATTCCATTAATTCCATGTTTAATTTTTGGAGGACGCTCCATACTGTTTTCTACGATGGCTGCACCATTTTACGACATTACCTTTTAAACAAAGTTTTTTATTAAACCTCTTCTTCTTCCTTCACTTTCCAGAAAAATATATCCTTTGACTTTTCATGGCCCCATGTGATGATAGTCTTTTCCTTCAGCATCCTGGTCTCTGGCCGTCTTTCAGACTGATGTAATTGCTCCGAGAGTTGCCCGGCTATGATAACCTCAAGTAAAAATGACAGTGCTCACTTCCACTCCACTCCAGCCATCTCCCTCTGTGTGCTACCTGTTTCTCATTAGCTGCAGTTGTCATACAACTCACCGATATCCTATTAACAATGTCGTCATACAATCACCTACATCCTATTAACTCCACCTACTGTGCCACCTACGTTGGTCCTCTTAATTGAATCTATTATGCTACACATCCTACTTCCCTGCATTTAGCTCTGTCAAATAGTGTCCTATTAACTCTATTACCCAATCTTCTGCAACTGTTGTCTGACTTGCCAGCAACCTGTTCATGATATCTTTGTTGCTCCCTACCTGTGATCTGTTAAACACGGATCACCGGTTTAGGTCTTGTTAGGTCCAGGTATGACAAGTCTAGCAGGAAGTCACACGTATCGGGGACTCTGGGCACTGAGCCTTGGACGTGCAGAGTATGTAAGGGACTTCACCCCCGAAGTGCCCTCTTAAGAAGAAGGATCTTTTCCTTGGACCACTTAGGCTGTATGAGCCACGTCGACAGAGACAGGCAGAGTGAGCGAGAGAGAGGGAGAGAGACTGTGTGTGTGTGTTGTGTGTATTGGGGGTGCCGGATGGGGACCCATGAAAGGAGTGGGGATTGGGAAGCTGGGTGAGAAGGAAGAGCCCGGAAGGAGGAGACCAAGTTGGGGGAGGCTGGGGGAAGAGAGGACTCCAGGGGGGCGGTCAGAGTTCATTTGTCAGGACAGGACCCTTTTTGGCACCGTCTTTTTGTTGTTGTTAATGACGAGTTGAGTCCACATGACTGTGTACCATAGCAGTCCCCATGATGTTTCCAGAATGACAGCCCATCCCATTTGCTCCACTTTTACCATTCTGTCCTCATGTGAGCCCTGATAAAGAGGAGGCTCTACCCCAAGCCCACTGTCACCCCCTGGGGCCACACTAGTGCTTGCTTAGTAGCTGCCACTGTCAAAGACCTTGTGCCTACAGGCCACCAGCACGTGTGGCAGGGCCAGGCATGTAGCAAGTGCTCACGAATGTTGCTTGAGTAGTGCCGAGAGGTGGCTCGTAGAATCTGTTCCTTGCCATCAAGAATCTTACTCCTGAGGTTGGGAAAGGATAAAAGGGGTCCTTGGCGGCCACCTGGTAAACTCTGGGACTACTGTCTGTAGGAACATGTATGTATTTAAAAAGTCCAGGGAGCTGTGTATATGTAATAGAATTCTCAGGTAATCCTACATTAATCTTTTGCATTTCTGAAACACTCTTTGAAAACACTACCAAACCTGTGATCTTTCTGCTCACATGCTCATTAAAAAAATTCCGGGCTCCTATTATAATGGGGAAACTGAGGCCCTGGTAGGTTCTCATGGGACAATCAGGATTATGAGTCTCCTAACTTCTGTCTAGCTGCCTCTCTGAGTGGCGTATACAGTACAATGAAGGAAAATTTTCAGGGCCTAGCTGTGGCCCACCCTAAACATGTATGTAAGCCTTACCTCTGGGCAGTACTGGGGACATTTCTCCTTACAGGTCTGTTGCTGGGCAGCAGCTTTCAAAGGATGTCCTTAGATAGCCGTGGTGCCAAGCACAGCTGTGCGTTGCCCCAGGCCCGGCTTTGTGTAGATGAAACGCCCCCATCTCTGCAGGCAGCCTCTGGGCCCTGTGTTTACCAAACACCCCGATACCTCGCCCCAAACACAGCTGAAGTCCAGGAGGCTTCCTGTGCCCGAAGCCCACTTCCCTCGTCCTGGCCCACTGAGGGGCAGGTGTTGACCAGTCCCCCGGCATCTGTGTCTGAGCCAGGGCAGTGAGAGGTCCGAGGGCCTCCAGGCAGGATGGGTCCATCTCATCCAGAAGCTCCAGGAAAGGACCTGGCTGTCCTGGGCTGTGAATAGTATCCCCTCCAAAATCCCCATGTGTACCTGGAACCTCAGAATGTGACTTAAATCCTAGCACTCTGGGAGGCTGAGGTGGGCGGATTGCTCAAGGTCGGGAGTTCGAAACCAGCCTGAGCAAGACCCCGTCTCTACTGAAAATAGAAAGAAATTAATGGACCAACTAAACATATATGTACAAAAAAAATCAGCCGGGCATGGTGGCGCATGCCTGTAGTCCCAGCTAGTTGGGAGGCTGAGGCAGGAGGATCACTTGAGCCCAGGAGTCTGAGGTTGCTGTGAGCTAGGCTGACGCCACGGCACTCACTCTGGTCTGGGCGACAAAGTGAGACTCTGTCTCAAAAAAAAAAGAATGTGACTTAATTTGGAAGTCTTTGCAGATGTAAGGATATTAAGGATCTTGAGAGGAAATCATCCTGGACTTAGGACGGGCTCTAAATCCAGTAGCTGGTGTCCTTAAGAAGAAGAAGTAGAGAGGACACAGAGAAACGCAAGGAAGGAGGCACCACGAAAATGGAGGCAGCGGTTGGAGTGATGCTGCCACAAGCCAAGGGATGCCAGGAGCTGGAAGGGGCAAGGAAGGACTCGTGCCCAGGGCCTTCGGAGGGAGGGCGACCCTGCTGTGACACCTTGATTTTGGATGCCTGGCCCCCAGAACTGTCAGAACACATTGCTGTTGTTCTAAACTGCTAAGTTTGGTAACTTGTCGTGGCAGCCACAGGTAACAAACATACTGACCAAGGAGCAGACAGGAGGTGGAGGTGGGGCATGGCCTGGTCCTGCAGCTAGACTGCCAGAGTCCCCTGCTGGGCTCACCTCTGTAGGCTGCAGGGCCTGAGTGAGTGCTTGTGGCAAGCCAGGGTAAGCAGCCAGGAAGACCAGGGCTCGACTTTCCTGTGGTCTCGCTCATTGCGGTGGAGAAAGATCTCTGGGCCCTGTCTCCACTATTGTTGTTATTTTTCTTTAGTGCCTGCTGTATGCAAGTTGCTACATCTTTTCACTCCGTCCTTGTAAGGACACCATGAAGTAAGTTGCTCCATCCCGAGTCCTGCATTAAACTTTGTTAACGTGCTTTAAGGTTACCCAGCTGGCAAGTCGCAGAGCTGGGATTTGAACTCGAGCCTCAGCCCACTTAAAGCCTACACACTTAACCACTATGCCACAGTAATTTATTATAGCTATGCCATATTAACCTTTTGCACTGGGATGTCGAGTGTAATTACTCTTTGAATGTATTAATAATTTGAAAAAAATTTATTAAAATCCAAACAAATAAGTTTATATGAAAAGAAACTCCAGTTTTGTATTCTACTGCCACGCTTTGTAAAATCTGGGGTATTTAAAAAATTAAAGCCCGAGTAGAATAAAGGAATCGAGAAAAAAAGCAAGCGAGTGCAAAGGGTTAGTAATCATGGCAGCCAGTGGTCCACACAGCAAGAAGAGAGCCTGCCAGAGTTATAACCCTCAGGGACTGCCCGCAGTCTCCTTCCTACCCCTGCCCGTCTGCCCCTTCCCTATGCAGCAGCCGTATCACATGACCTCTGCTCCTTGGGTGGCCCGTGATGTTCACATTACAGGTGGTCTCACTGGTAGCTTGTCCCTGTCCCTTTCTGTCGGACACACTCTTGCTTAGCCCACGTGGCTCAGTTTCAATGTGCTCCGGATACTCTGTTGCCTGGCATTTACTACGTGCATCATGAATCCGACCAGGGCGTGTTTGTGTTTTCCTAGCTGGAGTGGGAGCACCTCTGCCACAAGACCAGGTCTTTCTACTTTGACATCTGGCATCCTCCCCAGCATATCTGGTTCTCCAAAGCCCCCAATAAATGTTTAAACACGTCAAAGATGTGAACATCGTTAAGTAACAAATGCTCAGTAGAAAGGGCTGTTAATTTAAAAAAAGGAGGACAAGGAAAAGAACATCAGATATTCTAAGACAAGTATTTGTGGAAGGAATCGCTAAAAGCTTTGCGTTTTGAAAGCAAATATTGAATTTAGTCTCCCTCTTCTGTGTGCTTACAAATGGCACTCAATGAGATATAATGCTCAGTCTGCATTTTGAGATTTATTCTAGGACTCATGGACTTTTTTTTCTGTTTCGATTATTAATTGCTTTAGTCCTCTACACGTGTATTCGTTAAAAGTTTTCCCTGTCTGTAAGCACGGCTTGCCTTTGCGACAGTGCACCCCTCACGGTGTGCTGACCCGGATGGGAACGTAGGACGTGACTTGCTGGCATTCAGGTCACGGCAGATTTTCCAGGAAGCGTGTGTCTTAACATGTAAACCAAGGCCCGTTTTGTTTCTCAGGTTGCCTTCTCCAAAGGGGAGCAGTTTGCTCCTGTTGGAGGTCCTGTCCCTGACATTTCTCTAATGGCTCTTCCATCTCTGTCCTCCCGCTACAGGCTGGCCAGGGGTGACCCTCTCTGTCCTGGGATTCCTGTACTGCTATGCCCACGTGGGCATTGCCTGGGCCCAGACTTACGCCACGGACTGATGCCATGGGGCTCAGGCCAGCCCTCGCTGCTGGCCACTAAGGCAAATGGTCCTTACCCTGACCTGCCACTTCAAGATAATCTCCAAGAAGAGATCAAGACCTGCTCATCTTCTGTTGAAGTGACTTCACTCCAGGGCTGGAAGCTTGAGCTGTCATAGAAAATTTACAGCCAGATGATCTAAACTTTGGAGCCTCACAGATCTTCTACCCCCAACCCATCATTTTCCTGTTGAGCAAGCTGGGGTCCATGGCGGTAGACTGCCTTCCCCAGCTAAACATGGCGGCCTTTTGGTCTAGAACCTAGTCCCATTGGGACTTCGGGTTCTTTCTCCTTTACCAGGAATGAAATATAATGGACATTCCTTGATTGAGGCATAGAAATCGTGATTAGTGATAGGCCTGTCCTCTACTGGGCAGAATTTCAGAACGATTTTGGTGACATTTAAGACACCCCCTCCTTCATGTCCCGCAGTGTGGTCTCTAGAACCAGCACTAGGCTCTGAGCTTCGTACTTCAGCTCCTCTGCAGGAAGGAGACAAAGTCTCTGCTCTGTTTCTCATCACCTAGGCAAAGAAGTCGGAAGCAGCCCTGTGGCATTCCAAGAAGTGTGTACCCAGGAAGTCCTGTGATTTGAACTTCATGAGGGTGATCTACACGTGGCTGCTTGTTCCTGAGATCTGCAGAGAACATGGTAGTCCCTCTACCTGGCAGTTGTTTCACAATAAGGAATCTGAATTTAAAAGCCACAGAATAGAGTGTCCACAGAAACGTGCTACCAGGCAAGTCCCAAAGATAAGGATGGCTTCCTGGGGCCTTGTCTGTCTACCCTCTCCACGTAAAGTCCCAAGTCGTCATCCTATTCAGTGGTTTATGCTCGGTGGTCTATATTGGTTTGTTTGGACTCAAATGCAGCTTTTCTGTACATAATTTACATTTTGGTAGAGTTCTTTGGAATATTTTTGAGGAATTGTTTAAAATCGGAATACATTTATATGACTTGATTATTCACTCTAGAAAGACACTGGATAGCCTACCAATGGCCCCAGTGGTAGATAATTCAGAATACTTCTGTTTGGCTTGGGATTTTGCGGTAGGGGGTGAAACAGCTTTAAAATTCAAATCCATTGTGTATCCAATTATGGGAGAACTTGTAACATCTCAAGCACATGAACTGTTGAGTGAAAAGGAGCTAGTGCTGTCTCATAACATGGTATGGCCCTTGTGCCTGGGCTGTGGTTATTGGCTCCATGAGATTTAAACTCCTGGAGTGCAGGACTAGTCTTTTCGTTGAGTTTCTTTTCCTTCCTAGCTGCTCCGCTTGGAAGAGAGCTGCAGGGGCCAGATGTCGATGGTCTGAGGTGGGCACATTACTTGTTGGCTGAAAAGGTCAGAGGGGTTGGGTAGAGCTGGACAGCAGCAGCTTCAGGAACTGGTTTGATAAAGGAGGGAAGGACGTGGTGCAGGCGATTGCAGGGTGTGAGTTTTCAGGAGGGAATGAGACTGGGGGAGGAGTCAGTGGCCAAATGAATGCAGTAAAACCTCATGGACTGACATGATTTGTGGCCAGCCAGGGAGAGTGTGGATGAAGTTTACTTGGAAGGAAGGGGCTTGCCAAGAAAAAAAAAAAAAAAAGAGTATAAAATGGTCATAGGGAAGCGTGTCTAATATATCTACATATATAAATAATACAAAAGATTTTGAGCTTTTCCAAAGACACTATTTATATAAAAACAGTTGTACTCATTTATTATATTGAAAGAGTCAGTGGGTATATTTGAAAGTAATGATCCTGAATTTCTTTTAAACTGTATATTTATTTTTTGAAACAGGGTCTCACTCTGTTGCCCAGGCTAGAGTGCAGTAGCATCATCATAGTTCACTGTAACTTTAAACTCCTGCGCTCAAGCGATCCTCCTGCCTCAGCCTCCCAAGTAGCTGGGACTACAGATACATGCTACCATGCCCGCTTAGATTTTTATTTCTTTGTAGAGATGGGGTCTTGCTGTTGCCCAGGCTGGTCCCAAACCCCTGGCCTCAAGTGATCCTCCTGTTTTGGCCTCCCAAAGTGCTGGGATTACAGACATGAGCCAACATGCCCAGCCTCTTTGAAACTATTACATGATTCAGAATGGTTCTCAGGAATGAATAAATGATTACTATGTTTACCTCTGTTTTTATGGTCTAATTAACCAACATGTGGATTATCCAGGACCATTGTTTTTTTGTTTGTTTGTTTGTTTTGTTTTTTCTTTTTTACCTCTTACTACTCCTCAGCTGTAATATGAAAATAATGCTTCTCTCTCCATGCATCTGAACTAAAATCTTGTAATTGCTCGAAACGAGATGCCTGGGCACACAGATCAGTTGAGCTGAGGACACTGGATATGTCATCAGCCCTGAGCAACTTCAGGCACGGTGTTGGGAAAAGACTAGACAAGGCCCCAAGGTCACTTCCAGCCCTGGAATCCTCTGATCGCCACCTGGCTCTGTGCACAAGACCAAGAGCTACAAGCACAATGGCTGGGATGACAACCAAGGAGGCAAGCAAGGCATCTGAAGGACATCTAAGCCTCAGTCATTTTGACTCATTCTTGGGACCACGTGAGAAGAGTTAAAAGTATTATTTCTTCAGATGAATCTGTTTGAAGTGACAACAGAAAACATTTTGTTCTGTTAAAGACTATAGGCCTAGAGAAAAAAAATCTATCAATTATACATATAATTGTATAATGATCTATATATTGAGAGAATAGTAATTTGGGGGGGGTTCCCCTTAGAGAAATTGAGACTCTTCCCTTTGCTTAATATAACTGAATTAATCATATGAAATTAAGAAATTAACCATATGAGTTTGTTTCTTAGCAGATGCGCCAGAATGTATCTATACAGTAGCGTTCCTTCCCTTCGTGTGGCCAACATGAGAAGCCAAAGCGTCTTGACAGTACAGACCTTCCCAGTGCATTTTGAGAAAGCCTCTCGGAGGCCTTTCCTCCATGAAATTGTTATAAAATACACACAAAAAACCAAAACTCTCTTTTTAAAATAGTTGAACCCCATTTGGCACCCAAAATGTAGTATTTATTAGTTAGGTCTGTATTCCGAGTCCTTTTGACTAATTACAAAAACCATATTGACAAAGAGATGATTTTCCAACCTTGAGGAAGCCTAATGAATATAATGTTTAGCGAGCGCTTTAGTGGGTGACACTTTTGAAATTAACATCTACCATTTGGAATTTTTAAACACTATCGCCCTTATTTTAATGATGATTTTCTGCAATGTAATTAAAAATAAGAAGGGGGTACATCATTAAACATACTATATCCATACTGTGACCCTATGAGATGAAGCAGAGGCTTGTAGAACACAGATTCCTCATCCCCAAATTAAGTTATAGTGCCTGTAGAAAGAGGAGAGCTATGTTTGAAATGTAGCCCATGAGATATTAAATAGGAACTCGGGTTGGCAGTATCGTGGAGTCTTGCCATGAGCAAGAAGCAATGCCTATTAAAATAAGAGCAGAACTGAAACCATGCCAGTGTATTTAGATTAGAATTATTTAGATTAGGGGCAAGTAGTCCTTTAATAGTTTTTGAGACCATCAGTGAAATAAGGCACAGATCAACATTCACGTTGATACTGAATCCTTCAGAAAAGATTTAGTTCTTCATACTGTGTTTTAAAAGGCAGGAAGCATTAATATGTTTTATACAAGTTTTAGTCCGAATTGTTCAAAATAAAAAGGACCACTCCCAAACAGAATAGAGAACCCAGAAATAAGGCCACGTACCTACAGCCAACTGAGTTCTGACAAAGTTGACAAAAACATACACTGGGGAAAGGACACTTGCTTAGTCAATAAAAATGGTGCTGGGAAAATTGGATAGCCATATGTACAAGGAGGAAACTGGATCCCTGTCTCCCACTGTATACAAAAATCAACTCAAGATGGGTACATACAACCAAACGAGTAAGATGTGCAACATTTGGGGGATGGACACGCTTGAAGCTCTTACTAGAGGGGGGAGGGGGGGCATGGGCAATATATGTAACCTTAACACTTGTACCCCCATAATACGCTAAAATAAAAAAAAATGAATAAAAAAAGATGAATTAAAGACTTAAATGTAAGACCTGACATTATAAAAATTACTAGAAGAAAACCTGAGGAAAACTCTTCTGGACATTGATCTAGGCAAAGAAATCATGACCAAGACCTCAAAAGCACAAGCAACAAAAACAAAAATAGACAAATGGGACTTTAAAAAGCTTCTACACAGCAAAATAGATAATCAACAGAAGGAACAGACAATCTGCAGAATGGGAGGAAATATTTGCAAACAATGCATCCAGCAAGGGACTAATATCCAGAATCTACAAGGAATTTGACAAAAAATCCCAAATAATCCTAGTAAAAAGTGGGTAAAGGACATGGACATTTTCAAATGAAGACATGATCAATAAACATATGGAAAAAATGCTCAACATCAGTCAGAGAAATGCAAATTAAGTCTCCAATGAGACACCATATTACACCAGTCAGAATGACTATTACTAAAAAGTCAAAAAACAAAAAAAATGTTTACATGCCATTGGTGGGAACGTGAATTAGTACAACCTCTGTGGAAAACAGTATAGAGATTTCTCAAAGAACTAAAGATAGAACTATTTGATCCAGTAATCCCAAAGGAAAAGAAATATCAAAAGATACCTGCACTCATATGCTATTGCAGCACTATTCACAACAGCAAAGATATGGAATCCACCTGAGTGTCTACCCATGGATGACTGGATAAAGAAAATGTGATATATATATTATATATATAATATATATTATATATAAATAAAATCACATTCCATCACAAACACATATGTGATGGAATATTCAGCCACAAAAAAGAATGAAATGTCTTTTGCAGCAACATGGAAAGAACTGGAGGCCATTCTTTTAAGTGAAATAACTAAGAAATAGAAAGTCAAATACTGTATGTGCTCATAAGTGAGAGCTACATGTGTACACATGGACATAGGGAATGATACACATTGCAGACTCAGGAGGGTAGGTGGGGGGTTGGTGAGGGGTAAGAAATTAGTGGGTACAATGTACAGTATTCAGGTGACAGTTACATGGAAAGCCCAGACTTCACCACTATGAAATATGTGCATGTAGCAGAATTGCACTTTTATCCCTGAAATTTATGGGGGTGACAAAGTTCACTTCTAAGTGGGAGGCCAGCTCGAGCTATGTCTCGATTCAGTGTGTCACATGACTATCCCGTGATGCCGTATTTTGAAGGCAATCTCTGTGCACTTGTAATGCAGCTGGAGCTCTACTCTAAGATCCTGTAGCCACATATCTCCATATCCAGAATTTTAAGTTCTCAAAAACCACAATGACAGGTGCTTTCCACATTGGAGCTCCCCAAACTCTTGAAAAGGAATAGAAAATACCTTCCTCATTCTGTCGTCTGAGGTCAGAACACCAATTCATTGACTTATAATTAAGGAAAGGCAAAAGCAAGTATCATGTATAAAATAGTTTATTACTGTAATAAATTAAAATTTTTTTTTACAAATATCATTTGTGCTTGTTTAAAAATGTTGAGAAAGGAATATCATCAATGGAGGACCCTGCATGTTCCTCTTAACGTTCCCAAGCCACAGACGTACAGCGGAGTTCCTGGCAGCATCCTCAGCTGACCACAAAAATAGTATCAGCCCATTTGCACTTTTGTTTATTCATGCTCATTTGGACAAAATGACAGATGCAAAGGAAAAAAAACCCAATAAAGGATTTGGCAGACTCAATGGAAAGAGTGTTAATAAAAGGAGAAGCCCCAGAATGATGAATTGCTCATGAGTAGAAGTGTCCTTGTGGTGTCTGTGAAATGTCAGATGTGGACAGTCTCCAACTGATGCACAAATACAGTGTCTGAATATTAAGAGAATACATTCATTAAGGGGGGGGGGAGTTGCATCCTTCTTAACATAAATCGGTTCGTATCCTGATACAAGATCTGTGAACTTCTCATCGAACGACTCGTGGATCCATTGGATGACTCAGAAGTCGCAGAGAGACACTGGCTCTAAGAAAAGTTTAGTGGCAGGGAGGGCACCTGCTGGCCGGGCACCTGCAGGGTGTTCAAGTCCAGTTCTAGAGGTTCCAGAACAAGTCTGATATGCTCACATGGGAATGAAGTTTCATTTGAAACTAAGCTGCAGACAGATTCACATTGATTCTTTTAAATTGTCAGGGGTGGAAGTGAAGACTTCCCAACGTGAACACCTTTGGTGAGAAAATGGTGCTTTCTCGGAGGTTCGCAGTTCGTGCTGAGAGGCCAGTGAAGTCTCCCTCTGGGTGGAGGGCACGGGAGCTGGTGAAGGTCATTTTTATTGAAGCAAGTGAGGAGGCAGTTGACGGAGCAATGACAACGATTTAGCAACAGAGCAGAGGCTGTCCAGGGGCTCGAGCGTGCCCTCCCTAAGCGTCCATGGTAAGCAACACTGGGTGAGGAGAAAGGACGGGGCAGTGGCAGCTCCATCATAGCTGGAGTTCCATTCAAGGGTCTTAAGGCTAAACGTCTTTATTGCAAAACACTGTACACTCTCTATCGATGAAATGCACCTTCTCTCTCCACCAGGGCTCCTAGCATTTCCCAGAGCGTACACGCGATAGAGTGGTTAGAGCAACGGGAAACAAGATCTTCCTCCTAGAGTTCCCACCTGGGCTTGAACAAAAAGTGTGACAATTGGTTTAATATTTTCACCTTCCACCTAAGGAGTTGGAGAAGCAGCATGCTTGTAGGGCTTGGGGTGGTGGAGGAGTGTATTCTCACCCCTTGCCCAGCTATCTCTACTTTTGAAAGAAGAGGATTCCAAGAGAAGGTAGGGGCTGATGTCTGGACAACAGCAGCGTGGAGGGTTTGACAGGCCCCAGGAATTGGATAACAAGAACTCAAAGCAAGAAATGAACTTTCAAAAGTTTGCTAGAAGGCTGCTGAAATGGGTACAGGTTTTTAAACGCTTGGACCGTGTTGTAACATTAATGTTGTAGCCTTTAGCATAAGGTAGCTTTGCATTAACACAATCAATTAGTTGCATTAATTATGCACTAGACTAGAGCTTAATCAAATGACTTCCTCCCTCTCCTTCCTTTAGCTACTGTGTAATGCCCAGCGGAGGAGCCCTTTGTGGGGACAGGGGATGGCAACACCATTGCTGGAGTTGGCACCCTTCACCAAGAACACACACAGCATCTCGCTAACCATCTTATTTCTTAGAGTCAACTCTTGCCCCCACCCCTCCATCAGCAGAGGAGAAGCATGTTCAACAAGCAGCCCAGTGACAGGAGCGGGACCTCCTACTTGAAAGCACCCTGCTGGGATATTCTCTGGGAAATGGAGCTTCCCTACGAATGACACTCGAAGAGTTTAGCTCTTACTGGACAATGATGTCACACACCATGCCCGCTCCCCTCAAAAAGGAGAAAATATCCCAGGCAAATCTGTTATCTCTCAGCATAAAGTCTAAATGTTCTGTCTGAACCTAGTAACTCTTTGTGCTAATCTTTCTCTAGCCACCAGATAATGGTTTATGCTGGAAGGTTCAGGTCAGTAGTATGTGAAGCTCACAGCCTTTGCTTGGGAACCGGGAGGCGTGTGCTAGCAAGGATCGGTAGTTAGCACGCAGCAGCCTGCAGCCAAGCATGTCATGAAAAGGAAAAGAAAGATTTGGCTCACTTAAAAAACGTTTTTTCAGGAAAACCATTATAGCAAAAAAAAAAAAAAAAAAATTCCTATAATCCTTAAATGGAGAAAACTAAAAGCATCCACAGGCACACTCGTGGTGCTCACTGCTAGGAGCACGTGTGTGGGCCCTGCGACCCTGAGATGAACGGATTCCCATCGCAGGATCTGGGCTTCCAGTCATTGGCCCACTTTGCATCGGTCCAGCAGTGCGTTCCTGAAGCTTTATTTCCCTCCACATCAAGTCTGGACTTCAAAGCCTCCCCAGCATCTTTGCCCCTCTGAGCCGGAAGGACGGGGCAGGGCCTCTCCCCCGTGGCTGGCCAGGTGCTGGACCGCAGCCTGCCATCAAGGCCCCAGGAGGCAGCGAAGTCTCCAGGGGTGAGTGCTTCTGCAGCTGGGTATTGGGTGATCAGGGGCCCGCCTGCCTTACAAGGGGCGGGCCCTAAACTTTAGAAGCAGGTTAAGGAGCACGTTTAAGGAATGGCAAACTCGACCATCAGGGGGCGGCTGGCAGATGGCACTGCAGATTATTTCACAGCCTCTGCCCCAAGGACTTAGTTGGCAGCTTCTCAAGTTAAAGAGGCTGAAGGCCCCACAGCTCTACCCAGAGCCACAAACGGTTGCTGCTGCTTCTACCCTGCCATCTGAGGCTAAATCTAATCATGCCGCAGCCTGGGGAAGGCCCATGTGAGCAGGGTGTCCAGTGTGGGACTCTCCCCTTGGCCTCCCGGGGCGGTCTGGGCCACCCCTGGGAGCCGGCAGAGGTCAAGTCCTGCAACTTGCCGTGGCTGCTGGGCAGGAGCGGCTCGGACCGGCGGCTTTCAGAATGCTTGACATCTTTGGTAGGGCAGAAGTGCCGGGGGAAGGGGTCACCACGTGACACAGGCAAAGGTTAGTGTCCTGGAGGAGTCCATGCAGTCACCTGTGCTAATTCCACTCGCTCTGACTTCTCACCTTGCTTGTCCGTGTGTAGGGCCCTGAACCCCCTCTCTAGGGAGTAAGCGGGGCTAGCTCCATCGTGCCTGTAAGAGACCTCTCTCTACTTTCTCAGGCCCCACTGAGAGAAGTCCAGGCCCACAAATAACCTAACCCGGGTGACTGAGGCAGGGGTTGGGTCCCCAAGCATCTTGGCGCATGGAATTGGATGGCCCACAGGCAGCTCTCTGAGCACAGCTCCATGGCCACCTTAGACAGCTGGAACACCTGCCTCATTCTCTTTCCAGCTCCTGCAGAAAGTACAACCATGGCCCTGTGATCTTTACCTGGTTTCTCTGGAAGTCCTACTGACTTCAGCAGGAAACAGAAAGGTTGGCTTTAACATAAGGCCGAGCATGGCTCCTAAGTGTCCTATGATGACCCCATGCGGTGGACAAAATGCACACTTCCAAAGGGCAGTCCCGATGGGAATCAAAATATAAACACAGCACTTGCTACAATCATTTTTCTGAGGTCATGTGTGTCTACTTTGTTAATAAAGCAACTCTCGGCTCTTGACCCTTCCTGCCGCCACTCCATACCCTGAGGAATGCCACGGGGACACTTAGGGAGAGGGCAGGAAGGAAAAGAAGCAAAGGAGCCTGCGTGTGAGGCAGTGGCATGGAGCAGGCTTGGGCCACACGACAGGGGAGCCCTGGCTCTCACGGGTTGCCTCTCCAGCCCGACCCTCGCCTCTTTTGGGAAAGGAGATCTGAGGATTCTCCGCTCTAAGCACTGACGCGTTTTGGCCTTAACCACTAGAGACAGAAAGTTGACAGGCTCTACCCGCCTGTCCCTCACGTTCCCCTTGCCCCACGCTTGTTACAGATGACTACAGGACAATACAGGTGATGGCAGACACGGGCTGTACAAGGACGCTGGGAAGTCCCTGGCCCACTGAAGTCTTTGGGGGGCAGGTCTTGGCAAAGGAGCCCAGCATGGTATGTACACCAGGGGTCCGCGGCAACCCCCCACCAATCCCCAAATGGCTGCTGCTCTGTTCCGGTACAAATATGGTAGTAAAAAATTAAAAATGAAGGAAAATACCCTTCAGGCGGCATGCCCCTTCTTCCAAAATTGTGCAGAGACGGGTCAGACGCAGCTGCCATCTTGCATGGCCGGGGCACGCCCCCTCTCCTGTCTCTTTTCCAGATACAGCGCCTAAGCCACTGGCCCCATGGAGATTCACTGTCAGGAAGGGCGTGTCTGGTGGGTGGTATCAAGGACAGGGCTGTGAGTTTTCGTCTTTGACTTTTTTTTTTTTCCTCTTTCTCAACAGACCCCTCAGCTCGCTCCAAAAATGTCTCTCTCTGATTCTGGGGACTGAGGCCTCGAAATTTCAAACAGCTCCTGAGGAGACTGAGAGGACCTTCTGGAAGTTAATATCCTGAGTATCTCTGCGAGCTGCTTCTCGATGCTGGTCATTTTGGCGTTCAGGGCCTTGATGTCCTCCTTCAGCTCGTGCCTCACCTCCAGCACGGTGGCCTGCAGCGTCTGCTCGGGGATGGGGTAGAAGGAGTGCTTGACCTCGGCCAGGATGGGGCTGCGGTCCTGGGGACTCCGGGCCTCGCCCGCGTTGTCCAGCCGCAAGTCGCTCTTGGTGATGCCGCTGTCGCACGAGTCTGTCTTCTTCAGCGTGGCCTCGCCGGCTGCCTTCGTCCTCTCGGGGAGCGTCTCCATCGACTCAGCCTTGGACACCTTGTTCCAGTCCTCGCCCTTCCCGCACGCGTCTCTGAAGCGGGCCCAGCCTTTGCGCTTGGCGCAGTCGCCCCCCTTGGGGCCCAGGCACTCGGACCCCGGCGCGTGCAGCTTGGCGTGGTCCGGCACTCCCGCGCTGGTGGCCGCCTGGAAGGACACGGGCGTGGCGGGGCTCTCGCGGACCGTGACCACGCTGGCCTTCACGAGACTGTGGTTGGCCGAGGCGTGCTCGGTGAGGACGTTGCCCTTCTCCACGTCCAGGTCGTCCAGGTCCCGGCCCCCCCTCTCTGCTGCCAGCCTCGCCTCTTTCTGCTGCCGGAACCTCTGGAAGAGTCGCCGGACAGGGTGATCTGGGGGCAAGATCAGGGGGGCTTCGTTCTTCCGTTTCATGCGCTCCTCCTCTTCCCGTTTCACGTCGCTGATCTTCCGGAACACGATCTGGAGCGAGAAAGAATGACACCCTGTGTTAGTCCCAGTTCTCGCTCCAGGCCACCAAGGGTCTGGGACTCACAGCTGCAAGGCCTCAGGGGGCTTCTCTCGTGACTGACTTTCTTATCACTTTCCTTTTCTGGACACTGGTTCCCAGCTTTCCAACAACAAGGAATTGGTCCTCCCTGTCATCCTCTGCAAGAGGAACAAAGCCTATTTCCATTCCACATGCCAGGAGGCAGCAGCTCCCTCCCAGGAGGTCATCCTGGCCTCTGAGCCTGGGCCCCTTTCCATCTAACTTGCATGACATTCAGAACTACCTAGTGAGCTTTTCAAAAATCATTGTTTTGACCCTAGTCTATTGGAATCTCCAGAGGGGAAGACCTGGAATCTATAAAATAAACAGCATGATTCTGATGCCTACAAGTTTGAGCATCTCTGGTCTAAACCACAGTCCAGAACAAGGACTTTGACCTGAGTCCCAAGGCAAGATACAGCTAAGACTGCCATGGCCACCCACAGATCTGGACCTGAAGTGAATGTGGTTGGCTGTGAAGAGTAAAAGCTCGTTGCATATGGAAGGTGTTCTTGTCCTTGAGGAGCTGACAGCAGAATAGAGGCCTGAAAACTCCAACTTGAGTTGGTCCCAACAATAATACTCTACACTTGGATAGCGCTTTACAGTTCATAAGGCACTTTAATGTTACTTCGTGCATTCCTTGTGCCATGAGATCATTAGGACACATCTTATGCCCATTTTAGAGACAAACCAAGGCTCAGAGTGGCCCAATGTCATGTAACAGGTAAGTTGTATACGAGGCACTTGCCCTCAAACCCCAGATCCATTAGATATCATCCATGGCAACAACAGTTCATGTAAAGGACAGACAGCAGAACAGACTCATGAATTTGGCTCTAAACTTCATGCCCTGTGTAGGCAACCCAGAACCTACACCGAGAACTTGCCACAGGACCTGAGTCTTGGGGAGGCACACGTGGTGGCATTTGAGGAGCATGGACTTTGGCAAGTTTAAGTCCCATCCACACCGCCTAACCATACAGCCTTAGACAGATATCTTAATTTCTGAGTCTCAGCTTCCTCCTTAAAATGTGGGAAGAATCTCTATTTTTAGACTTGGGGTAAAGCCAACACAAGATGACTTCTGTGAATGCACTGGTCCCCTGTAGATGCTAAATGGACCCTGCTGTCCTCACCCTGTCAAGGGCCTCAGATGCAAATGAGACATAACTTACCCTCCCTCCTCCACAAGGCCTCTCTGTGAGCCCCACTGCCCTGCACTCTCTTGATTGCACCACTTGGTAGGTTCTTGGTTATGACCAACAAAATGGTAATTTTATAGTACCCGACACGCATTTAATTGATGCTAATGATCTTTCAGCAAGCTGTCAATTACTGGTGGACTGGAGCTGACACCTGTGATCTAACGTCATCAAAACTCCTGTCACTGGATGAGGTGAGTGGGTGGTTCAATCTTCAAGCCATGTTACCTGGGTCCCAATATACGGGGCTCTCTGACCTCCACTAAGCAGCATTACTCCCATCCCTTCCGATTGCCAGCTGTGACTTTATAACCCTACCTCCCCATGCGCCCCTCCTCAGTGACATCCCAGCCTGCAGATCCAAACCAGGTGTCCACTCTGAAGAGGGCCAGAGAAACCCAACTAAAGCCATCACAGAAATGGAGGGATGATGTTACGTAGAGTGATCAGGACTCTCTTCCCCCATCCCCTCACTGCTCTGAGTTGCATGACTGGCAGTCTTCCACCTCCATGCCTCTGCACGTGCTGTGCTGTGCTCTGGGACTGGCCCCTGCGCTCCACTGGGCATCCAAACCCTCCTCACACCAAGGCCTGGCTCAAACAGCCCTTTATGCCCTAATTATTTTCTATCTTATATCCATTTGTAGTAGAGATGCCAATTCTTTCCTCCCCACTTGGAGAGAAGGAATGCAAAAAAGGAAGAGAAGCAGGAAGGATAGGGCGAAGGAAAATGAATGTGAATGCACTGAAAAGAGATGAGGGCCTTTAGAACTTATTGCTGTTTCTGCCAGCTATCTGATTCCTAACAGTATCCCTCATTTTTACTTGAGCTAGTGTAAGTGGGTTTTATTCCTTATAAGCAACAATTCCTACACAAGATACCGGCTTATCCCCCCTGAAAGCTACCAACAGTACTTTTTGCATGTCACATTGTGTTTTTTACTTTTTAAAAGTTTCATATCAACTATCTACTTGGCAACCATGGAACATTCTACAAGATAGACTATAAGGACACAAAACAAGTCTCAAAAAATCACGTCAAGGCACGCTGGCTCACACCTGTAATCCTAGCACTCTCGGAGGCGGGAGGATCTCTTGAGTTCAAGACTAGCCTCAGTAACAGTGAAACCATGTCTCTACTAAAAATAAAAAGAAATGAGCTGGACAACTAAAAAAATATATAGAAAAGACTAGCTGGGCATATGCCTGTAGTCCCAGCTACTCAGGAGGCAACAGGATCGTTTGAGGTTGCTGTGAGCTAGGCTGACGCCATGGCACTTTAGCCTGAGCGATGGTCTCAAAAAAACAAAATCATGTTGATTTATAGTTTTATTCTGATGTGGTCTGAGAAGATACTTTTCATGAAGAGGAACTCTCGAAACAATACATAGAAATCAAACATGTTCCTGAATGACCTTTCGGTCAATGACAAAATTTTTTGAAATGAAAACACAATATACCAACATTTATGGGATACAGAAACAGCAATGCTAAGAGGGAGATTTATAGCATTAAATGCCTACATCAAAAGAATAGATCACAAACTAACCTAACTTTGCAGCTCAGACTAGAAAACAAGAAACCAAACCCAAAGCTAGCAGAAGGAAAGAAGTAATTTCATTTAGTTCTGCTCTGAAAGACCAAAAAACAATACAAAGGATCAGTGAAATGAAAAAAGATAAAATTGATAAGCCCCTAGCTGGACTAACAAAGAAGAGAGAAGATCCAAGTAAACACAATCAAATGAAAACAGAGACATAACAACTATACTCAAAAACCAGAAAACCTAGAGGAAATTCCCAAAACAACTCCCCAAGATTGGGGAAAATATAGAAATTCCAAACATACCAATAATGAATGAGTAGTAAGATTGGATCAGTAATAAGTCTCCCTCCCCAAAAGCCCAAGACCAGATGGATTCACACCTGAATTTTACCAAACACATATATATGATGATGAATTGGTGCCAATCCTCCCTAACTTATTCACCCTTACATTACAGACCAATATCTCCAACGAACATAGATACAAAAATCCTCAACAAAATACTAGGAAACCAAATCCAACAGCACATCAAAAAGACAAACACACCATGATCAAGTGGGTTTTATTCCAGGGGTGCAAGGATGGTCCAACATATGCACATAAATATGTGAGTCATCACATAATTAAGGAAAACCATATGATCATTTCAGTAGATGCAGAAAAAGCATGTGATAAAATCCAGTGCCCCTTCATGATAAAAGCACTCAACAAACTGGGCATGAAAGGGACAAACCTAGCCAACATTACGCTGAGTGGGGAAAAGTTGAAAGCAATCCCTCAAAGAACTGGAGAAAGACAAGGGTACTCACTTTCACAACTCCTGTTCAGCATAATACTGAAAGTCTTTCTCTTGCCTGACTGCTCTGACAAAGAAATAAAAGGCATCCAAATTAGAAAACAGAAAGTAAAATTATCTGTTTGCTGATGATATATTCCCGAAACCTCATAGATCTGATGAATGCAGTCAAGTTTCAGGATACAAAAATCAATGTACAAAAATGAGCGGCATTTCTATACACCAGTAACGATCAAGCTGAAAACCAAATCAAGAATCAATCTCCTTTACAGTAGCTATATAAAAGGTAAAATAAAATACCTAGGACTATATTTAATCGAGGAAGTGAAAGACCTCTACAAGGAATAACTACAGAACACTGATGAAAGAAATTGTAGATGACGCAAATGGAAAAACATCAAATTACCCAAAACAATCTACAGGTTCAATAGAATCCTTATCAAAATACCTATGTCATTTTTCACAGAATTAGAAAAAACAATTCTAAAGTTCATATGGAATCAAAGAGCCTGAATAGCCAAGCAATCCTAAGTAAAAAGAACAAAACTTGGAAGTATTAAGGTACCTTATCTCAAATTACACTTCAAGGAAATAGTAACCCAAACAGCATGGCACTGGTATAAAGATAGAAAAGAATAGATAACCCAGAAATAAAGCTACATGTGTACAGCCAACTGATCTTTCACAAAGTCAACAAAAACATAAATTGGGGAAAGGACACCCTATTCAATAAATGGTGCTGGGAAAATTAGATTGCCATATGCAGAAGAATGGAACTGGATCCCTGTCTCTCACTATATATAAAAATCAACTCAAGAGGAATTCAAGACTTTGTGTAAGACCTGACGTTATAAAAATGCTAGAAGAAAACCTGGGGCAAACTCTTCTGGACATTGATCTAGGCCAAGAATTCTTAACTAAGACCTCAAAAGCACAAGCAACAGAGCAAAAACAGACAAATGCGACTTAATTAAACTAAAAAGCTTCTGCATAGCAAAAGAAGTAATCAGAGTGAACAGACAACTTTCAGGATGGGAGAAAGTATTTCCAAACTATGTATCTGACGGAGGACTAATATCCAGAATTGACAAGGAACTTAAACAATTCGACAACAAAAAACCCCAAATCACCCCATTAAAAAGTAGGCAAAGGGCATATGAACATTTTTCAAAAGAAGACATACAGATGTCCAACAAGCATATGAAAAAAAAATGCTCAAACCACTAATCACAAATGCAAATTAAAACCACAGTGAAATCTCTCACACCAGGCAGAATGGCTATTAAAAAATAAAACAATAAGATGTTGGCAAGGATGCAGTGAAAAGGGAACGTTTATACACTATTGGTGGGAATGTAAATTAGTACAACCTCTATGGAAAACAGTA